ACCCAACAGGCGACCCTATCCACACACGTTCAGGTGCTGCTGTTTCATTCCCCTCTAAACTAGCACAATATGTTTCATGAACGACATATCGAGCCTTGCTTACCAGCGCAAGCTCTAGCGGGGGAGTTCTGTAGTGGTTGTGATTACACGGTAATTTCTCTTTGTTTTTATCATTTCCATTACCCATCACTTTGTACCATTTGTTTAAATTCACAACTTTTGAATACAATAATTTCTACGCGCTCGCGTCGTGCTGCTTTCGGTTTTGCTGCTGCTTGTGATTGTTCTGCTGCCACGTCTATCCATTACTCGGATTATATGTTAGCATCTCTAGTCGGCATCGGACTAACATCGATTGAACAAGGAACTATAACGCAAGTGCATTGATTTTTCCTCCATTTTGTGTTTTTGCTTAAGACTGCATTTTGCCCCAGCACTAGAACTCATTAGGTAACGGTCCGCTTCAGGTCCTGTGGACGAAGTTGTCGGCTAACTGCCGAACAACTCAGTGCCCTGAATCAAGCTTTGCTGTGTAATAGCCGTCGATGGACGGAAGACTTCACCAGGCGCTGTAGACATGTTTCAGTATACCGTTATTAGAAAGCCGCGGAATTCCTTCAGCTTTTGTTATACGCGGGTCCAGCAGTCTTAAGGTATGTGCTTCGGTCTTCTTTGTACAAGAACTTCATGGAATTGCACTTGGGGATATATAGTATGCCAACCAATACTTAGCAGTGCACACAGTGCATTTTCTGTGTATGTTTTGAGAGTTTTCGTCAGACGATATCACACCTCCTATGGGGCTGATGCACTAACTTTCTTCCACATGGTGGATGTGAGTGCACATTGACCATTGGCTTATTTTTCAGCGTTTCCGTTTGATTCATATATATATCCGTTGAAAAGATTTTGCAAGGCACGGGCAACCCGGTTGCGCAGGTAAGGCGATGGTGCATAGAGAACTTCAACCAGTTGCACTTCACTTGTAACTATCGCATATTGATGCATCCCGTTATGTGTGAACCAAACGCAAAATATCATATATCCATGATGGTGTTCAGTTTAACTCATCGCCCCCTGACGATGTCATAAGGGTATCCGGAAAGCGTACTTGAGTCGTCGTCCAGATACTCAGGTTATGGTAACCTGCCAGGCTTTTACTGAACTAGCTGATCTTTGTGACCAAGGCATGAAATCAAACAAACTAGGTGTTCACAGGGCTACGGGCGTTGATGGTGAAATACAACGGTTAACATGGAGGTCATGTAACGCAAGTGCATTATGTTTAAAGCCGATAAAGCGGAGGTGATCTTACCTCTTCTGCACACCTTTCTTGGGAACAGTGGTCAGCCACCTACTTAATGCAGCCCCGGGTGCTTCATCGAAAGGGGATAATAGGGCACCTTTATCTGCGAACTGTAATAATGATAAGCCTATAGGTTACTTACAGCACCTCGTTTACCTTTTATTGCTTCTACGCAAGCCCTACAACTAATTTTTCTTTTGACATGTCAAGTAGAACCTACATGGTCGTGTCCTGCATACGCCGAGGAAGATCCGAGGTCATTATTATCACCCGTATGTGGATGAACCAAGAACGGTATACCGCCAACATACCTAACTTGCATTCCGACCTCTATTATGAGGCAGTGAAGAATCACCGCTCAGTGAAATCCTCGGACCACAAATATGATGTCAAAGTATTACGCCAGACGGGTAAGTTGTGGAATTCTACCAACCTGCCGCAGATAGCTTTGATTATGCCTGCTATTTGGAGCAAGTCCCAATTTGTGATCCTTTCTTCGATGACACGGAGAATAACGTCAGCATAGAAACCACACGAAAGCCATTCGCATATCGATACTCATTGCGCATAACATATTAGTTGCAGCCACGCAAGTCGCAGACGTGTTCATGGTAATGAGGACTCACTGCAAACAAAAAGGGGCATACCCGCAGATGCAGAATATGCCGTCGCGCTACTTGTCACTATTTTCAACGAGCTTCAACATTCACACCCTTACCTGCATCTAGTGCGCAGTGTATCCCCACTTCACAAGAAAGCATAGGTATGTGTAACAAAGCTGTTCGTATCACACATCTTGTTCATCGCAGATCAGCGGCTGTGTATCGACGCACTGCCAATGTGCACGACGACGGGTTACCCAAAACCGTCATCCAGGTGAGCGATACTTTTGACTATTAATACGCTACGTTTTAGAGACCAACTTGTTGAACGGAGCACCTGCCCCGAATTGCGTTCAGCGTCTTCTGCGGTACAACACTGTGCTCACTGTCACTTGCAGCTGAGCTTTATGCTCTCAGGGATAATTAACAACCAAAAGCCAGATAGACTGGTCTTTACCACAGGATTCGTCTATTGAAACCTGTTGGGCTATCATTAAAGAGGGAGTGAAATCGTTGTACGTCCGAATGGTACCCCTAAAATATCGGAACGTTGGGCCAGTAAAACCATGTTAGTTCGACAAAGAGTACTGCGAATTGGCCCGACAACGACGCAGACTATGAAAAAAATTCGTGTTATCTGGCTCTGATGAGGACTATAAGGCGTACAAGGTACAGCGAGATCGCTGCAACAAGGCTAAAACAAGAAAATGCAGATGCTTCGAAGAACAACTTTCACCCGCCACAGAAACTGGTCTTAAGCGAATCTTCTCATACATGAAGCAACGCCTGAGGCCTGCAGCCAGTGTCCCAGTGTTAGAAGGCTCAGATGTACAGGCCCTGACCTCGAGTACAGATGGTGCGTCCGCATTGGCGACACACTTCGCCTCCGTAGTTGCAGGTGACCAATTGTCCGTAACGAGTTCGACGAGTACCGCTCCCGCTGAACTTGACAGCCTAGACTGCAGTATTGAAGATGTACGCAAGCTTCTGGTAAATCTTGATGGGACGCAGCTCGCTGGGCCAGATGAAATCCACCCACCGATCCTCAAGTCCCTATCGGTCATCTTCGTGCCTTCGGTAACTGAGCTGTAAAACAGGTCAGTATCCACTGGAAAGGAAATGATCAGTTATAAAGACAATATTGAAAGGTGGTAACCCAATCAAAGGGGACAACTACCGGGCGATCTGCCTGACCACTGTTTTGGCAAAGGCGCTCGAGAAGATCGTGAAGAAGGGCCTTCTGCAGCTTCTCGAGTCGAAAAGTCTCTTGACGCCCGCACAGCATGGTTTCGTGAAATGTCGCTGGTGCATCACCAACCTACTGTTGACGAGGCACGAATGGTTACAAACACTGAACCAAGACAAATCAGTCGACGTCATTTACACTGACTTCAGTAAGGCTATTGACAAGATAAATCATGCAGTGCTCCTCGACAGGCTGAGGATGTGCGGTGTTGATGGTTCGCTACACTAATGGATCAGGAATTTCCTTGTTGATCGAAAGTGGAGGGTCCAGGTTGACAACCATTTAACCGACTGGTATCCATCGAGCAGCGGCGTGCCCCAAGGCACGGTACTGGGGCCGATTTTGTTTCTGATCCTTGTAAACGAAGTGCCTCAGCTACTCTAAGCACTTTGTGCGTTGTTCGCATTTGACTTGAAGGTGTGGAGAGTAATCTGCACACCCAATGATTGTGATTTGCTTCAGCAAAACCTCGACCGCCACTCCATGTTGTCTGCAGAGGTCAACTTTCCGACCAACGCGGTCAAGTCTCAATTTATGAGTCTGGGTAAGTGCGAGCACAGTCGAACTACACGGTGGCTGGTCAACCGTTGCATTCCGCGTCTTTTGTGAGCGACCCCGGTGTACTCGCACGCTGCGATCTAAAGTCCATGGACAATAGGACTAAGATTTACCAAAACGGCCTTCTTATGCTTTGTGCGCTCAAGAGCAGCTTCAGCATATGGTCCGAAGAGATTGCCACTCGCCTCTTCGCCACAACAACACGACCAATGCTAGAGTATGGTTCTTCTGCGTATTTTTCTATCACCCGGAGTGATGTAGAAAGGCCGGAGCGCGTGCATCAGGTAGCCACCAGGCTGCTTCCCAACGTACGTGGTGTGCCATACGAAGACCGGTGTAAGAAACTAGAGCTGTACACCCTAGCTTATCGTCGACTGAGGGTTGACCTCATCATGACCCACCGGATATTACATCTGAGTGGCTACCCTATGTTGAGACCGCCGATTCATCTGCGCAATCCAAGCAGCACACGATGACAATGGTATAAGCTTGACGTACCGGATTCGTAATGGGTCACTCACCAACTCTGTTTCAAACGCAGAGTAGTGAATAAATAAATAAATAAATAAATGGTATATTCTCGGTAAAACGAGACACACCTGTAAAGGCGTGATCAAGTTTGCATACAAGCATAGCTTCTTTGGAACGTTAAAACATTTCGTTTTAATGAAAGGTATAAAAGAAGGTGTAGTTCATATGAGTGAGCATATTGTCAGGTAATAGTCAGACCAAGGAACATGATGGCGCTGTGGCGAGCGAAAATCCGTCAAGACACAAGTTGGGGGTAATTTCGCCAGGCGGTGATCCGTGAGCACAGGAACCCAAGCAAGGTTTTGGTGCAACCAACGACTATCACAAAATAGGGATGATCTGTGCACCATCAAAGCATTCTTCATAGTAGGATTGGTTGCACAAGTTGGATGTAGAAGACTGAGGTATGCGTCCGTGTGAAAGGTTTAGCTGTGACTTTATTTTGTGGCCAGTCACATCCGCCACGTCGCAGTGTTGTTAAGCGGACATTTGTGACTTTTTATAGGGAGAACCCTTGCCAGGCGAAAACCCACCACGTCCCGGATGGACCGGCCAGCCACAGCACGTAGTACAGGCAAACTCAGTGTCGGAATTTAAGTATTTCCTGGACAAACACTTTGCCGACGCAAAATATATCGAGCGGAACACCACATAACGGGTATCTGTCCGTGGTTGCCGACTGATACAGCTACACAGAGCAAGCTCTACTCGCTGCTTCGAACCGGTATTCAGTATTAGTACTTTGCGATAGTGCTTACCGGCTGTTAGCGAAACTAACGGACAATGTGCGGACTTCATCTAAGCAAATGAATTGCTTAGAAGACAAGATGAGTTCGTTTGGAGAAGTGTTGAAGTAAACGATCAACGATGTTCCAGCAGATCTGCCTCTTTCGTTAAGATCAGTGGAACGACTGACTACATTTGATGCTTTCCTCATCGACGGTGCCCTAAAAGACAAATTTGTAAGTTGCTACATAAGCCTCATCTAAACATCGCCAGCTACGATATATGCAAAGAATTCCCGGCAAAACTCTTTTCGAGTGCACGAGGAGCATGGATGAACGCATGCTCACCTGTCACCTAGCAACACAGATTAATTTCACATTCTGCAGAAATATGTCGTCTTTCCGCCAGACTACTATTCATTCTTTGATGCATGGTAGGTGCAGCATACTGGGTTCATACTTCGCAGGTGCTCTCCTCATGCGCTTCGGCACGAGGCCCGCAAAAATGGCGCAAGTCATCAAAAACTGGTTGCGCAATGTGCGCCTAAGGCCACTACACATGTCGTCATTGGAACCCTTTCTATCAGCTATTTACGCTACACCAACAACTTTAACTATACTCACATTTTTTGCAGACAGCCGATTAACGGACGCTTGAAATCGTGGATCATGAGCCTTAACTCACAGGCATCTTCGTAGGTTGCATCTGCTAGTTTTATATTTAATACAGAGTTCCTATTGCTTATTTTTCATTTTATTACGCTCCTGGGGATTGTGTTGTAGCGTTTTTTGGGTCACGAGTAGCAGATGCGAGCTAAACCAGCACGTAAGCAGGACATGTAACACAGCGCATAGAAGCTTTACCCGCAGCTGGCTTACGCCTTCAGCTAAGCGGAGCAAAGCGGTCCGCTAGTAAGCTGCAATAAGATTTATTGCGTCCGTGCAATATGATTGGTTGCTGTCTAACAACAGGCCTTCGATTCTCATTGGCTGCCGATGAACGGCTTGCTTGCGGGTCTGGCCGTTTTGGAAATTGAGCTGTTTACTGAGTTAACTCCGCTCAAGCAAGTTGGAGTGTGATTCGTCGCAGATCTACTCGGGAACAACTCACGGTACTAGCAGGGTAGTTTGAACAAATTCCTTCTGCTATATTGCAGTGCGAAACTTTACTGGAATTTAGAAGTAGCTTAGACAAATATTGGCTGGTCTTGTTCCCAGAATTTTCTTTAAACCTAGTGACTGCCCCTAATCTCCTGACTTCAGGGAAAGCACGGGTTTCACGGGTTTGCGCAGAACGAGTAAGCGTAGCTTTTCGGTGGTTCTGCCTCGGGATCTTACGGCAAGGTCCTGATTGTCATGCGCTTGCTTCTGTTTCCTCCAGTATGAAACCACAAGCTTTATTCCGTTGCAGTACCGTGTTTTCCCTTTTGCTTACTGGAGCACGAACCGGGGAGCCTGTTAAGCGAAAGCCTTCTCCTCCGTGGATCCTGTCCTGCAGGACTCCTGTCTGACAAGCGTATTTTAGACGTTTTGCAATCAAACACTCCTACTCAGAAAGACATACATACGAAGTGGGTTACTTCTCATAAAAACCGTTAGAACAACTAAGTCTTGTGAGTACAAACATTCGCGACTGACGTGCAAGTTACGCACTTCCAAATGTTCTAAGTGTGAAAAGATTGGTCTAGCTGTTACTATTACTTATTTGGTACACGAAGCATCAGGTGAGTAAAATCTCTCTGCTGTGCTCCAGCTCAGTGCGCTGGCTGTGGGTTGCCCTGATCAGTGGTTCCACATTACCGAACCAGTAGTTGTCATTGGGGCATTACAACCTTCCTCCATTATATATACCCGTAGTAAGGAGTATGTTATTTATGTTCTCTTTTAACAGTCTTAACTCGAAGTTCACCAGACTAACTATCTTTACTGTTAGGGGGATTACTGGATATCCAAGCTCTATCCTTTGTTCCTGTGAAGTACTTCTGTCAAAGGGTACAAGTTCAAATTCATGTTCAGGTGGGACTGGAACGGTCATATGACAGCCGTAGGTGTTTATCCTTAAGCGGGTCGTTGATCTAGATATTTACAGGGGATGCTTTGACTTCTTGGTGGAGACAAACTGATACCACCTGAAGCATAACCTAGTCTGCCAATTAATGTCTACTTGCCCTGCAGTTGCAGTCTTTGCTGCGTCATTTACGTGAAGTAAGCAGGTGAGTAAGCTAAATCGAGAGTAAAAACTAAGGAAACTCTTTCCTAAAGAGGATAATACTAATGGTGAGAGAAGGTACATAAAAGGAATCGAAGTATGATGGTAGGAACCTATCAGGAAAAAAGAAAACGTTCATGTTCCCGCCCTACAGCATTTAGTGGACGCGCAAATCCCTTAACCGTAAGATCATTGACATAAATTTTCGTAAAGCGACTTTCAAAGCCTAATGACTATACGTAATAACCATGACTATGCTCTAATCTGATCGGAATGCGGCTTGTCCAGCTTCCTAAAATGCTTGCGAACATCAGATAATCTAGCAGGACTAATAGCTAGGACAAATCCAAGCCAACATTCCCAGTCGACGTACGGCAGTTTAGAATTAAGTCCTCTCTATTCCTTCGATAGTGCATTGAATGCATCCTAAAACTAAGTAGGCCTTCGAGGTACGTTTGTCCTCCTAGCACGTCGACTAACCTTGTAACGACACGCAACATACTTTCCAGTGCCATTTCGTCCTGAAAAAGAAATGGTGGACGAGCTTAGACGCAATATCCAAAGTGGGGTCACATGAACGCTGCAAACAGCTTCACGAGCATGCCAGCTGTCAGGGTTCCGAAAGAACGACGGATAAACCACAACATATAAAACCTTTTGCTGTCCGCTTTCTTTCAGTTGTCTCCAGGGTGTAGAGCAGAACGATAGACTTTACCTACACCTATCGGATGTCTCCCGGGAGGAAGTTTACTGCCATCGATCATGCAACTCGTGAAAAAGTAACACGCTCAGATTCGCAGCATTGACCACGATCCGGTTTATTGGCAGCATTCATAAGAAAGACCATTTTCTGAGTCTATCCAGAGCTTGGTGAAGAGCCGCAGGACATCTTGGGACATCAACTATGTAGTAGCTCTGTAGTAAATCAGTACATAAGAGCGAGGGCAAATTACTATTCCCTGGCAATTTATTCAAGTAGACTGCAAACAGTAGCGCACCCAGGACGGAGCATTGTGGCATGCTGCTAAGAACAGTTGGCTGAAACAAAAGACTGCTTCCTCCACTAATGCACTTTTCCCGTCCATCCTGAACAGCTGACACCCACTGGAGAGCAAGACCATGTATTCCATAAGACTTAAACTTTAGTGAGAGGGAAACGGAGACAGTGCCAAAGGCCCTGGCAAAGTCAATGAACAACAAGACCATTATTTGTCTACTGTCTATGGCTGCAATCTGGCTCTCACGCGGTAGCATTAAGTTCGTTTGACAAGAAAATCCCATCTGAACACGACGTTGCGCGAAGGTAAGCAGTTTAAATTTATGCTAATGTTTCTCCGCCCAAAGTCTTACTTTTTCTAGTGATATAACTAACACACTAATCAAACAAACAGGCTTGTAACTAGCCAGTAGGTATTGGTCACTGCACTCGAAAACCGGGCAGACAACAGTCTTCTTCAATTGGGTTGGTGAGACACAGCTTTTGAGTGCCTTCTGAAACACAAAAGTCAGAAACCGCCTGGGTTCCGCTGCCAACTTGTGCAGCAATTTTGGATGAACCGAATATGGCCCGGAAGTGTTAGTTTGGTTCACCACTTTCAGTAACTAAAGGACTTGCGACTCAGTTACAGTAATCTCATCCAGACAAAGGTCCACAGAGACTCTAGTAGCTAGTTCCCTGCATGGAGTATTTGTTTCGCGGACACAACGCTTGTGTACTGATAACCAAGCACACAGGCCTTGTCATTGTCGCTATAGGCACGGGTCACGTGGGTCAGTCTAATCCCATCAAATGTACATATCTTGTGGTGGCATCCGGCTCATCGCTCCTGGGCCTGAACGGCATGAAAGTATTAAATATTCCACTGCTAATGTTTTCTGACCCACTTCAAGGAAAATTATTCTCTTGTCACAAATGTTCCAACGCCTCAGGCCGCATGAATGATGAACATGCCAAGCTTGATATCCAGGGCCCCTGTGCTCATAAAAGACGTACCGTTCCGTTCGGTTTTCCGAAACAAATTCACTAGTATATTCTCCAAACAGAGGCACGTCCGAAATGCATGAGCGTAGCAATACAAACGCGAATGTTTGGCAAACTTAAAAGAATGCTGCCAGGTTAACACTAGCACATTGGATTTGCGGTGTGTGTTTATGTGCATATCAGTATGAATGTTTGCCTCTGCTTTACTTGAATGTGTAGACGTGATGTCGTAGTTGTGCTAGTGTTCTTTCAGGCCGCCTGCTAATAAAGGGGTGAAGTATAAATTTGTATTGAACGACTGGCGTCTGCCTAGCGTGTGTGACAATAACTTTTGTTTAGCGAAGAGTCACATCTGCCACTTCGCCGTGTTTGAAGCAGATTAGTCTGGTACTTTTTTAGATAGAACGCCGACCACGTGGAAAACCACTACGTCCTGCAATACTACCGCCGAACCATTCGCCGAAAAGAATTAACCGAAATCATCCAGGTGGCACCAGGTGCAGGTTGTTCGGCTGGCTAGCCTGTTATGCGCTCACTAGAAAAATGGTTGAAAAGGTATAATTGCGCAGTTTCTCACTTTTGCTTGTGCCACACTAATCATTACTTTGCTCAAACATAACGCGGTCTCCCAGAAGTTGTGGCGACTCCCGCGCTACACTGAACTAGTGCCTATTACAACGTAGTTGCAGTACTAGTGAATCCAAAGATATTCTTCAACGGTTGAGCTGACCCAGCTGCACTTGAAGCTCTACTTGAAAGCTGCCTACTTACAGCTTCCTCTTGATGATCAGTTTAGTGATCTTATTGCGATTAATGCGCCATTTTTTCTATTGCGCTTAAATGTTGTGCAATTTGTACTCAGTGTCTCCGTGTAGTTTCTAAAACGTTATGCCTGACCGATGGCATGACCGATATTTTAGTACAGCAAGAGGATGCCATTATACAATCGGTTACAAATCCATTCACGACAAGGGACTTTGTGCACTGTTAGGAAGGTTTTGTTTATTTCAAGCGACAGTTAGCTCTGAAGTGCAGTTTGTTAAAACGTAGTTCCTGTCTTGTGTATCTGGTTGATTAACGTGGTTTTCGACCAGATCCTGCTCGTATTTCGCTGTTGTCCGGAGCTATTGCTCCGAAGAATTTGGACGACCTTCGTTCACTGATGGGGTCCTTTCTCTAGTAGTTAAGATTTATTCCTAACTTTACTGCAAAGGCAGAGCCTCCGTTTGAAGTGCAATCCAAGAAAACCTTTGCTTGGTCTCAACCTTATGGGATACACTGGCTACTATGTTTCAGTTACTGTCTGCAAATGCTGTTTTACGTCCCTTTTCATCAAACTTACTATCAAACGTAGTTCCGGCTGCGCCAGCTACTGGTATCGGGGAGGTACTAAAACAAAGTTTTCCTCACTTTTGGTGTATTTCCAAATTTTTTAACCCGGCTGAACTTGCATATGCACAATCTAAATAGCTCTTGCAGTGCATTTCGCGACCTCGGGCCTAGATAAGTTTCTGGTTGGCACACATTTTATAAGTATAACTGACAATGAAGTCCT